AATCTGGAATACTGTTGCCTGTTCACTCTATTCCTCAGAAGATTGGCTAGGTATTTCACCCATGCATGAGGGGAAATGGACTCTGCTTCCATCTACCTCACCACCATCCTGGCTTGAAGTTTTTAAAATGAATAGGATTCAGAAAAAAAAAAATTAAAGAGCACTTTCTCATTGTTTTTGCTCTTTACCTCCCTTCTTCCTTCACCACCCTGACTTCACATCTTGCACCTGCTCAGGGCTTTATTCAAGTGTCCTCTTTGCAGTGAAGTCCTCTGTGACACTCCCCACACCCCCACATGCCTATCTCCTCCCCTGCCTTTTTCTTCTTCATTCTTCTGGTTCCTATCCAACAGACTATACATTCTAATTACATAATTTGTTCATAATCTGTTTTCCCTTCTACAAGATGAGTTCTGTGAGGACAGAGATTTTTGTTGGGTTTACTTACTGATATATTATCTTCAGCATATAGAACAGTATGAAGAAGACAATCAGTGTCTATTAAATAAATTATTCTTTTGTTAGAGATGAAAAGGAAAAACTATGGTGAGTTTGGGCAATAGTAAGATAAGTGAATTTTGAAAGGTAGATTTAACATTATATCATAATAATTATAATGGTATTTATTATATGTGTATTATATACCAGTTACCATGCTAAGTGCTTTAGATTTATCCTTTTATTTAAGTGCATAGTCATCAGAAAGAATTTAAGTCTCAATTTTGAAGCTTAGCTATTGATACAATGATGAAAACTTGTTTCTTTACCACAGGATTTAATATTAGTAGTCATACCTGCACTTTACTAACATGTAACACTTGAGCTTCATATTTCTGGAGAGTAAAGACACAAGTCAGACAACAGAAAATGACGAAAGGGTTCATAATAACACACCTACATTCTCTGAATGGTTTGATACTATCTTGAGTCTGTTTTCTCTTTATCTGATGACAAATATGTGTATAGCCACATGGAGAATAGTTAGCCCAGGGATCAAAATAAACCACCATTTCTGTATTGTGTGTCTTCTTGTATAAACTGCAATTCTCTGAGTTTACAGTGAAGATTCCTCCACTATGCTAAAATCTTCCTGAGTGTGGGCTGCTGCAGACTAGCACACATTTAGGACTCCTCCTTGGGGATCACTGGTAACTGTTGGCAAACTTCCTTTGCTTTTCTCCTTCCCACCCTTTTATTTTGTAGAAAACATACCCTGAATCATGCCAATACCTTTCATTGCCTCAAGATCTTTGTCTTAAGAAATGCTTGGCCTGGCCTGGCTTCTTTTTAGCACCAGTGACAGGTGCCAAAGAAAAAAGAAAAATCAGGAGGTGTGTAGATATGCAGGTCTATGGTGTGCCTCACTTCAGTCTGGAAAAAAAGGTTAGTGTTCTCCCCCCAAAAATGTGAATCCCATAATCAGACTTGTTTTTCATGTTTTTGAAAGTACAGCTGTTTGATCTGAAACAACTATAACAAGAGAGGTAGAGAATGAGGCCACAGGAAGTTCTGCTTCCAAAGGTATAATAGAGGTCTATTGAACATACTGAGATTTCTTCCCACAGCATGAATGCCCAGTGGAATCCTGGCCAGAAGAATGATGTGGGGAAACTGGACAACTGTCAGTGAGTTTGTTCTTGTCAGTTTCTCGGCCTTGTCTTCTGAGCTACAAGCTCTACTATCTCTCCTTTTCTTAACCATTTACATCATTACCCTAATGGGCAATGTCCTTATCATCCTGGTCACTACAACTGACTCTGCACTACAAAGTCCCATGTACTTCTTCCTCAGAAACTTGTCCTTCCTGGAGATAGGTTTCAACTTGGTCATTGTGCCCAAGATGCTGGGGACACTGATCATCCAAGACACAACCATCTCCTTCCTTGGCTGTGCCACTCAGATGTATTTATTCTTCTTCTTTGGGGCTGCTGAATGCTGCCTCCTGGCCACAATGGCATATGACTGCTATGTGGCCATCTGTGACCCTTTGCGTTACCCAGTCATCATGGGCCACAGGGCCTGTGCCCAGCTGGCAGCTGCATCCTGGTTCTCAGGGTTTCCAGTGGCCACTGTGCAAACCACATGGATTTTCAGCTTCCCTTTTTGTGGCCCCAACAGGGTGAACCACTTCTTCTGTGACAGTCCCCCTGTCATTGCCCTGGTCTGTGCTGATACTTCACTATTTGAACTGGAGGCTCTGACAGCCACTGTTCTCTTCATCCTCTTCCCTTTCTTGCTGATCCTGGGGTCCTATGTTCGCATCCTCTCCACTATCTTCAGGATGCCCTCAGCTGAAGGGAAACGCAAGGCCTTCTCCACCTGTTCCTCCCACCTCCTGGTTGTCTCCCTTTTCTACAGCACTGCCATCCTCACATACTTCCGACCCAGGTCCAACACCTCTCCTGAGAACAAGAAGCTGCTGTCACTCTCCTACACAGTGGTAACTCCCATGTTGAACCCCATCATTTACAGCTTAAGGAACAGTGAAGTGAAGGCTGCACTGAAACGGGTCATTCACAGGACCCTGGGCCCACAGAAACTATGACTGACTTAGAAGGAAACTGAAAGGGTAGAATGCAAGGACAAAGGAAAGAAAAACAAATTCCTCATTTGGGTTTTTGGACTCCACTCTTTCCAGGATCCTCTGTACACTCACTGGGATTTTCAGCTTTCCACTGGGATCCATTTCTGAAAACAACATGAGTGACGAAAGAAAGAACTGCATTCAGTAGGAATAGCATCCTATGGGACTGTGGTACCAAGTCTGAAGATGCCACTAATTTACACAAATTAGATGCCATTTGAAAGCTGGGAGCTTCACTATGATTTGCTGTTTTTTGTTTTAACTTTTTCTGGAATTTCATCTATATCATTTCATAATTTTCTCTTTTCTTCTCTTCTATTTGTCCAAAAACTCTACAAGCAATTTTTAGGGATCTTTTTCTTTACATGGTAAAGATAATAAATACTAGAATTTCATTTCATTCTTTCTTTTCTTTCCTTTTTTTTTTTTGCAACACAGTTTTATTCAGTACTCAGCATGTGTTAGACACTCTTTAGCCCTAGAAGACACATTGCTGAATCAAACAGACCAATTTCTCACCTCATGGAAATCATAGTGTGAGAGGGAAAATAAAAAGATACATAGAAACTCCACTGGCAATTGAGGAATTCTTCCTCTGCTACCATGTGTTCTGTGCCTTGTCTGAAGGAAGACAATTCACATGACTGATAGTTGCCTCAGTTTCCAATTGTCCATGTCAGGCATGAGAGTTGCTTGACAAAAGGTGTTAAAGGAAGTTGCAGTCAAGTAGAAGTGGACTCCTTATAGGAAATGCTGCGAATAACAAAGTTTCTTTCTTTACTAATTCTTTTTGGAAAATTTATTGTGATGAAATGAAATCAACTGTCCACTTTAAGCTTGGGTATATCACTCAACCAATGTAGCAGCCACACTTTATGATTTTCTCCAGTGAACATTGCCCAACTCTAGACTCTTGACAAGCAACAGGCTTGCAACATGACACCACAGCTTTGAGTGAACTATTCACAAGAATGTAGTGATAATTAACAAAGTAAAATAGCATTTACTGCATAGGTATGTCCTCTCCACAAACCATGTATATAACTCTAACTCTGTGTGCCATGGAGGTACCAGGACCAGCTTGGTCTCCCACACAAGGTGTCCTTCAGCTCAGGGGCATCAGAGCTCTGAGAGGGCAGCACATTCTGAACATCACCATTGGAATTTGCAAATGAAAAGACAGATCACAGGGTTTCATTTCCATGATGGCAATCACACAACTGAGCAGGTTGGTACCATTTATAAATTGATCATCTCTCATTTCAGCCAAGCATTCATCACTGCCTCACCTTCATTTTACTTGACCTCAGGATGGTAGGAAGAATAACAGGCCCACAGAGATGGCCACGTCCTAGTCCCCTGTACAAATGTCACCTTACATGGTAAAAAGGATATTGTTGATGTGACTAAATTAAGGATCTTCACATGGGGAGATTAGCCTGCATTTTGTTTTTAATATAGTAACAGATAATCAGAAGGCATGTTGAGAATGTCTTGAAAACATTTATTCCTAGGGCTTCCTCACCTCCATATACCAAGTCCACAGCTCCTGCCTGGTGGCCTTCTATACAGAGCTACCCTCTCCAAGTTCTGGTTGCTTCTTCTTGGTCCTTTGGGCCCAGGATTGCTAATAGCTTCTTACTCTTGCTGCTCTGGGTTATCACTATTTCTTTCTGTTTTCCAAAACCTTGTTCTTATATTTATAAAGGTGGTCCTAATAGATAGAGTACTCATGTCTCTAATAAGACTGTGACAAGTACAGTAAAACCCATAAATTCTACTTCATTGTAGCCATGCTCTTCATTACCAACCTCAAACATATACAAGGATAGGCAAAATAGGTTACAAATAATACAAGAAAATAATACAATAACAAATAAATAATTAAATAATAATTCAAGATTAAACTCTTGTGTTTCTTGTACTCACAACATTAAACCTACTTTTGCCCACCCCTGTATGGAGGTACATGTGCATGCACATGTACATGTGGCACCTAGTTCATAGTAAATAATTAAGTAGTATTGTTAATTTATTATACGATGATGCAAAGAAATATTAAAAGATAAAGGAAGGAATTGGAGTAGGTTCTGGATTAGATAGATATTAATACATAGCATGATTTAATAAGGTAGATGTCACAGGTTCCAGGACTCATACAATGTGAATGGTTCTCAGGGGATTTCCTAACTCTTAGACGCCGAAAGACCAACCAGAAGGAAACCCTCTTTCCTGTTGCCCCATGAATCATTTTCCTTCTTCTTTTACCAAGGAAGGGCTGGATAAAGAGTGGAGGGTTGGGTCCATGGAAAAGCCTCAAGGATGAGACTCATACCCCATTCTACTCTTGCTGAGGAAACTACTCAGTAAGTTTCAGAAGTAGAGAGCTAGGCGGGTCTCACTGCCAGTGGCAATTTCAGACCCTGCATGGAAAATTCCTTGTACCCACTTTCCTCAGAGCTCCCTTCACGTCCTTGTTCCTCAGGCTGTAGATGAGGGGATTAAGCATGGGTGTCACCATTGCATAGAAGACAGACAGCAGTTTTTTCTGTTCTTTTGAGGACTTTGGTGTCATGTAGGTGACAATTGCTGAACCATAAAAAAGAATAACCACCAGGAGGTGGGAGCCACAGGTAGAAAATGCCTTGAGTTGTCCCACAGCTGACTTTATCCTGACCACAGTCACTATGATGTGGCCATAGGATACCAGGATTAAGGAAACAGGTATGAGGAGAATCACAACCCCCATGAGAAAAATGGCCATCTCTGCAGTCCAGGCATCTGTGGATGCCAGGCTCAACAGCGCAGGTGCCTCACAAAAGAAATGTTCAATACTATTGCTGCCTCTGTAGGGTAGCCTTAGTGTGAAGGAGGTATCCACCACAGCCACTAGAATGCCAGTGGTCCATGATCCCACAGCCAGCAGGAAACACACCCTCCAAGTCATGATGCTGGAGTAATGCAAAGGGTTACAGATGGCTGCATACCGATCATAAGACATCACTGCCAAAAGGGCACACTGGGTAGCCCCAAAAATAAGGAAGAGTAGAAGTTGAGCTGCACAATGTGTGAATGAAATGACTTTCTTTCTGGATAGCAGGTGGACAAGGGCCTGAGGAACAATGTTGGTAGAGAAACAGAGGTCAGCCAGAGATAAATTGCAGAGAAAGAAATACATAGGTGTGTGAAGCAGGGAGTCAACCAGTACAAGGGACACGAGAAGCAGATTTCCAACCACAGTGACAAGGTAAACACCCAGGAACAAGATGAATAGTAGCTGCTGAGTGTGTGGGTTGTCAGAGAGTCCCAGAAGGAAGAATTCTGTCACCTGTGTCTGATTGGTATCTCTCATAGTTTGTCTCCTTTTTCAGTACAAAGTCACTACATGCTAAACATAGACGTGTATAACCTAGGAGATTATATGATTCAGAGTTGGAGGACTTAGAAATTGCCTCCACTCACTACCAACCATTTCAAGAATCTTCTTTATAAGATTTTTAGAAGATGATTATGCTGCTTTAGATGAAACATTTTCAATTTTGTGAAACTTAAATCTTTATAAAATGGTACATTCATTTTTAATGTCCTCTGGCAAGTGTAGAGTAGGTTGCACATTATCTTCTTTATTTGTAATATTGTATATCTAATAATAAAAAGACAGATTGAATTCAGATATAAGGCCATGCTATTTAATTTTACCTTATTGTTAACTAAACCCTGAGTCTTTTGCTGTTCTTGCCATACTTCCTCCATCTCATGTAGGTGCAGTTGTTTTTCATTCTTTGGACATCCAACTATTTCTGCTGTCTATTTCTTCAGAGAGTAGCCACAAAGGTATGAGAAATCAAATGGAACTGAATTTTCTCTTGGAGAAAATGCCTGTATAGAAGGAGCTGTTAAACCAAGAGGTATCTCTGGATAATATACCATAATCTCTTTGGAAATCCTATTCTCCCCTTCACTGGGGCTCCAATATATCAATCTTAACTGTCCATGAACTTCCAAAATAGTGGACACCTATCACGACATAATTTCTATTTTAACCCACCAGCATGGCTAGTTTTCTGTGTTCAGACTAAACAGCACTGATCTGCTACCTCCAGCCCATTGTGTCTCCCTCCCTTGTGTTCTGTGTTTACTCCTCCCAGAAATTACAAAGTCCTTTGAAAATTTTGTCTATGTTTTTTTCATTTTTATGTACTTTATTAAGCATACCATACAGCTTTGATGAATAAATTGTCATTAATTAAATAAAGTAAATAAAAATTATTTGGCCACATAGTTTAATAGAGTTGTTTCAAAAGCCTGCCTGAGAGACCTGCAACAGATTGGGAGCAATGATAAATACCATAGAGCCACTCTAAAAATAGAGAAAAAAAATTAAAGTCTAAATGTTAAGTCTCTAAGTGAGGCTTGGTCCATCAACCCTATATCTGTCTCATAAATGTTTTCAATATACCAAATACATACATACATACATGTGCATACATACAAAAAATGAAATGTATAGGATTATCAAAAAATGACTACATGAAAATGTACTTACAATACTTTTAGAAAACAAATATGAGATATAACATTACAGATGCTTCTTTAAAACATTAAATTTTAAAATGTTGTGGCAAGTCTAAACACCACCTTAATTTCAAAATGATGAGCCTAAATGATATTTTGAGATACCTTCAACAGCTGCAATGCAATGTAAAAATATCTCTGATTTCGATTCATGATAAAGTCATGGATATGGATAATGTTGGTTTGGGCTGTTTACCTACATTCAAACAAGAAAAGCATTTCAGACTTCAGTTAAAGTAAAATAAAGAAGTACTATTTACCTCTAACTCGAAGCACCCCCTGAATTCCAAGCAAAGCTCTTCTGGGCTGAAGGAATTGCCAGTTTTCTCAGAAAGAAACGATTACACTCTCTGTCATCTGAAAGTAGAGTCTTAAGTGTTTGGATGGGTCCATGACCCAAAATGATGAAAGATTTCAATTCATTATTGAAATAATAAATAAATAAAATGTTAACATGAACAATCACATCTGTGCTCGATTATCATTCATGACTCTCTTATTTGACCAAGACCACATTTCTAGGCATTTTCCCCTACATAACTAAGACACACTGTATTTTCATGCTCTCCTGGCTTTTGCTCAGCCTTCTAATATTCCCTCGATTTGAAGGTATGCTTACTACATAGAGTTAGGATCATTTCTGTTGAACATTCATCACACTTTGAATACTCAATCACCTTATTTGTTGAGTAAATATTATTGTCCTAACGCTTCCTTGGTGAAGAAGATACAGACAGAAGACCCAGACTCTGAGACCAAAGACACTCAGGAGGGACCAAACTATAATCACATTTTATCCTCAGTGCCATTGTGTTTGTGGAGCATCATAGATTCACAGCAAATACTGGTTTATGAATGAATATACTGGACAAAGTGAGTCCATATGATCTAACAATTACTTAAACTCATATAGAATTGGTTCTAATGGGAAACATAGTCTACTGTTAAATAGCTGATACAAAAATGAATTTTGAGAACACAGACTATTTCAAGATAGTCACTTTTGGAATTACCATCCCCCAGTGGAAGGTACTACCTGGTTAGTTGTTAAAGTCTCCAGGTTATGGTTTAGCTCAGGTCCTTTAGACTTACTTCTTCTGCCACAGTTCACATCCTTCCCAGAGGTATTAATCATATGTCTAGATCTCAGGGAAAATTAAATGGTAAGCAAATAATATTTCTTGGTTTTGAAGAAAAGATAGAGAGGATAAAAATGAAACACTTGTCACAAAGGTCTAAGTGATGTTTACATCAGTGGTTAACTTAATGAAAGAGCAGCTACAGGATATTACTGATTTCTATGCCTTCTTGACCATTCCCCACCCCCATATCTAACACACAAAGACACAAACACACACAAGTACACAAATTTACAAACCCCTGGTACAGCCTAGACACATCAATGTACTTACTGCATGATGTACTTACCTCCATCAATATTCTTAACAAATTATATGGAAGTTATTTTCTTTCTCTGTTACTGTAAGACACTCAACAACAGCAACTACATGTGCCTCCCTTTATTCACAGCAAATAAGATAAATCCTGGCACAGAATCGGTGTCCAACACATGTTTTTGAGCTGATTTGACTTGAGCCAAAGTAGCAGGAGACAGGTGAATGAGTCAGAAATGAGTGTGACTCATGACTTGCCAGATGGTAGGGATGCTCACTGACCCTGGGAGTATAATATTAGAAGGTTACATCCCCGACCCCTCCCAATTTCTTTTTTAAACCATGTTATTCTCCCAGGCAACTGTGGAGGAGAAATTGCTCCCCCAGGCCCACTTCAGGGCCAGGAAGCTTCTGTAGGAAAATCCTGTCTTCTGTCGGTCTTTCATGTTATTCTGCCTTGTCTCCAGATTTAACATCAACTTGTGAGTTTATTTCTCTAAAAATGACATATATTACTAGATGTAGGATAGAATGATAGGGTCACAAAAACAAGCATTGTCTAATTGACATTTCCTTTAGGAACAGGATACTGGGAAAATCCATAAGAACCAAGAGAAAACTATTAAATTTCTCTTCTGTTTTCAAGATCTTTTGACCCCAAAACCATCTATTCCCCACCACCATACCCACTTACTGTCTTCCCAGGCTCAAGCAGAGGTGTAAGAATTTACACCCAGAGGATCAATAATGACTCCATGGAAACTCTGCTTTTGTCTCCCTCAGGTGAGGACCAGGATTCTTCTTCACAGGGAATTCAACATGGAAAATGTGATTTTATGAGGCAGATCCACTGTGGAGAAAACCTTAGCTAGATATATTATAGAAGATTTAGCCCTTAGAACTATATTGTTTGGATAAAAATTAGTTGAGTTTAAAAACTCAAATGCATGAAGAAATTTAAACCAATTCACCCTTAATATATGCCAGGATATCCCCTTTGCCCAATGTGTGCCTCCTCTTTCCCTCCCTCTAATATCCTTTCAACAGTTTCTCCTCTGGTGGACAAAAAAAGATCAACTTAGCATTCCAAAACCAATAAAGACATCTCACTGTTGGGGGAACTGCTGCAGGTGTATAGCTACACAATGGGCAGGGTAGAGACTAGGAGCATCTTGTCATGAAGTCAAAGGGCTCAGTAAAATCAAGGGCAAGGCAGGAAGGGAATCCCTGCATCTCCCATGTTCAGAGGTCTTATCATTGACTTCAGGACACAATCTGCAACAATACTTCCATTTAAAAGAGATGAACAAAGGGATGCATGAGTAGTCTCTGGAGCCATCAAGTGCTCAGAAGAATTCTGAATCATTAGGGTGAACCCTGAGCTGCATTTCCTATCAGAAACTTTCTCAATGGTTACTAGGAGGACAAAAAAATAACATGTTGTTAGCACTCACATCTCCCTTTGTGGGAGAATGTAGATGTAAAAGGAGAGCTAATTGAATCCAAGTGTATTTAAGAATAATATGGCATAATTAACTATGATTCATCGGTGGGATTCAAATGTGTTTCAACATCAGAAACCCAACAAAGAAATTTATTAATTATTACACTGAAAAATAAAATCAGATAATAATCTCAGTGATGTAGGTAAAACATTATTAAAATATATTTCTTATTATTTAAAAACTTGGTTGTTTATGCATCAACACCTAACATCACACTCATATTTAACAGAGATATTTTTGGTGCAGTCTTGAAGATAAGGAAGAAGACAAGGAAGGATACTGTTCTCACCATAACTGTTTAGCACTGTACTGAGGGTAACAAAGGATACCATGAAGAAAAAAATTACAAGTAATGTAAGATGTAAGAAATGGAAGATAAGATATAAAACTGTGCTACTTGCTTATCATATATGATTACCAACCTAGAAAACAAACAAAAAATTCAACAAACCAACTGTTAGAAGTTGTAAAGAAATATTACAAGTTTTCCATATCAGAGTTCAACCTTAAAAAAATTAAAACAATTTTTATACCTCTCCAGCAGCAATAACTAATTAAAAATGTAATTTTGAAAACTGTGTACAATTCCACAATAGCAACAAAAATTATAAAGTATGTAGAAATGAATCATGGGGGTAACAAATAAGCTCTGGTAAAGTAGAAGATAATTTCTTTTATATTTTTTAAGCTTTTTTTTATTTTAATCATTGTTCAAGCACAGTCTTCTCCCTTTTACTCCCAATCCAGCAGTAGAAGGTAATTTCAATAAATGGAAAGATATTTCATCTTTTGGGTCAGTTGATTTTAATGTTATAAAGATATCATTTCTCCTCTAACTGATCTATAAATTTAGGGTTATACCAATAACCATTGCAGTT